GGTTGAAGCACTCNCCGAACTTCCGCTGTCTATCTTGTCTCCCCACTCACCTATCCCAGCCCACACTACTCCTCCGACGATACCTCTACACCCCAATATCCCCCATGAAGAGGCGGTACACTCACCTGTTAAACCGAGAGCCAACTAGCATTCTCGAGTCCATGTACCAGGAGGCGCTACGTGAGAGCGAGGCCCGGGACCAGGTGCGGAAGCAGTCCGTGATCAACTTGCAGGCCGCTGTAGTCTTGCAGGGAGGTTACCTCGACGAGGTCCACCAACGGATGCAGGGCCGGGAACAGAAGGAGGCGGGAAAGAAGCCGGGGGGGAAGGCTGGTCGGAGATGGCTTACCGCGTCTACTCAACGAGGACGGGTTCATTGATGAAGTTTTCAAGCACGAGCAAGCACAGAAGCGGAAGGCAGAGGAGAAAGAGGAGCGTAAGTTGGAAAAGGAGCGTCATACGAAGGCACTAGAGAGGTGGAAGGAGGCATGCAAGGCACGAGATGAGCGGGTCAAGGCACAGAAGGAGCGGTATCGCCAGGCCTTGGAGGAGTGGGAGGATGAGCGACAGCTAGCCAAGACAGAGCGGAGGAGGATTGGATGGCAAAAGCCAATGCTAGGAGCAGTTGAGAAGAAGCCGGGACGGCCAAAGAAGAGGGCGGCACAGCAGGCAGACGAGGATGGCAGCGACGGAGAGGAGCAGGAGGATGAAAGTGAGATGGACGTTGATTACGATGACTAGGCGCGATTAGATTGTGATCATTCCGATTAAGGTTGGCCCAACAAAGATTCGACACCTCCCGTCACGCCTGTCACACTGTCCGTGTCCCGCCCCTCCACTGCGATTCCGGGGTATCGGCTCGTATAAAATTGAGCTATAGGCTCTGTGGTACCATACATGCCGCCTATCCAAGTTTTTTCCTCAATGCAGAGGGACGGGAAAGCAGCGAGGGACCTCGCAAGCTCACGTGATAATCACGTGATGGGGTCGAATCTTCGTTGGGCCAACCTTAGGTATATCTGTACGTGACTGTGACTGTCCGAAGGACTGAGGAGCCATTGATAACATTCCCCGACATAAAACATTCCGATCCTGTCTTGTACAAAGGCGATAGGTATAGAAACACTCTCATGTTACACTATATACACGCTGAAAACATCCAAAGATGTCCGATTTTCCCTCTCTTCTTGCGCAGGACAACAATTTCGAAAATTCTAAAAACGCGTCCGAAGGACCGGTTAAAGACTGTAGGGCGCGTCATTTGTCAAGGTCTCGGTACTTGGGGCGAACGTGCGTGGCGCATCAATTTCGGTCGTTGCCACCCCGCCGCATTCGGACAGGGCAGTCGCTTTGGCCGCTCGGCCACCAATTGCGTGTGTGGCTGATCATGCTCGTATCTTCGCTGCCTTTACTCCTCCACATCACTATCTACCCTCTGTGCGTGCTCAGCTTTCCCGACGCCTCTCATGATATCCCCGCCTCCTCCCTGACACGATCGGTCATCTGCCGAGCGACTTCCATTTATGTGTCTTTACAGCAATCTCACTAAACATTCGTCACTTGAAGCTTCGTCTCCTGCTTCTTTCGCTTGGGCCTCTCAATTGCTTTGTAGTGCTCTTTTGTCGTGTCACTTTTCACTATCCTGGTCTATACGAGTGCAGGCGTCTCCTTTTCTCGGGCCTCGGGAGCGACAATCCAACATGAATGAATGAAGGAAATGCCCGCTCAACCCCAGTGAGAATCGACATGGTCTCTACTGTATTAGGTCGATTAGTACGGTATGCAGTAGGGAACCCCGAAATAATACGAACTTCTGTGCATATCCCCACTTCGGCTGTATGCGGTCGGATAAGGCTGTATGGTCGCACAATGCCATACGACCATACATCGGGTCAGTTTGTGTGTTATTGGGTGCGGCTGGTTACGCTCGGGTCGCACTCGGGTCTGGTTGGGCAGGGATGGTTGTTGTCGATATGTGTCATTGAATACAAATCAATTCATACTGTATACGGTCGTATGGGAACGTATGGCTACATGGTGCTATATACAGCTACAATCGAGAACTACAGAATAGAGCGGGAGCAGACTGGAAATGTTTGGATACGTGGAATACTGACAGGAGTAGCCTTTCATCCCACTGGCATGGGAGCCACCCACCTTGCGAGCCACTGAAACAGGTGGGAGGCCGATGCCTCCGACGTTCGACTTGAACGCGCCCGATTGCGAGACTGGGGATAATCTGAAGGTGGCCTCATCAGAAGGGTTCAGCAATGGGACTCAATAGCGGTGCTCCTCACGTACCGTCAACAAGGGAGCAACACGTCCGAGTTTCTGCGAAGACAAATTGATCGAGCAGACACAGGAACAGAGTGCGGGCGACCTACCTGTGATACGAGGAACTCAGAGTCTTGTAGTGCGCCTCGAAGGCCTCCAGTGTGCCATGGGCATCCGTGTACCATTTGCGCGCATGAACCCACCTATTAGAGCGAGTGAACCCGGGACCTAGCACGGTGAGTGGATTTCCACGTACTTTGCACCCTTCAGGTCTGGTGCTGGAGGCCACCGCGTCGTCTTGCGAGGGGCGCGCGGCTTTTCTGACGCAGTTGTCTCCGAGGGCTTGTTAGGAAGCTGTATTGAGAAGGAAGTACTTACAATATACGAGCCGACATCTTGATTGTAGTATGCTAAAGTTGCAAGGCATGGGATCAAGTGTTAAACATCAAAGTCTGAAAACCCTAGAGGAGACGGCTTGCACGCGAGGGGATAGAGATGGTAGGCGTAGTGAATAAAGAGACAAAATGTACCTTGAGCGAATCTGAACGTCGGCGCTTAAAGCGCATGACGTCATATTCTTACCCTCCTCACCGAGAAAGGAGATTGATGAAGAGAAAAGGGGAAAAATGTGGCAGAAGATGGGCATGAAATAACACTCCTCTTCACTGAGGAAGGAGCGATTGAAATGGAGAAGGAGAGGGAAGAATGGTGCGGAAAATGCAAATGTGCGATGTTGGTGCACGTACCAAAGAACTCCTCTGCGCATCCACCCAACACCTCCTCGCGTCCGACTCATCCTCATCCCTCCCCCTCACTCCCCAAACCCCTTGACGTCTGGGTTCAAATGGGAAATATGGCATAACTGGGGGTGAGAGCATAACAGCATC